GATAAAACATTCCTCCATCCATCGATCCATTATCTATACCCTTTTCCTCATTTGGGCGGCTGGAGCCGATTCAAGCTGTCATTTGATGAGAGGCGGAGTTACACCCTGGACTGTCGGCAGTCAATCACAGGGCTGACATAAAGAGACAGACAACCAGCCACACTCACGTTCACATCTATGGATGGACAAGTTAGAGTCACCAAATAACCTAAAAGCATGTTCTTCTGGGTTTTTTTTGACTGTGGGAGGACGGCTTGTTTATCTGGCACACCTATAGATTATTATTTAAAAAGCACTTGAGAGTAACTCCAGTTTGTGAATCAAGATTTCATAGGGGGCTGAGCTACAACCAACCTTAGCTCAGCTTGTTTCAAGGTGCTTGGCTCGATTTTAGTCAGATTTCTTAGGGCCAGATAGACAAAAGGATTGTGCTGCTTTAGCGGGTGTTAAACCTGTGTAATGAGAGAAACAGAGTGTGGAATCCACAAAGCACGCTCAAAGGATGAAATGTGCGTAAACTGCTCACAAACTGCGCTGCCAAGCAGGTAATGTCCTGGATGTGCCTTTCTCATTTGCCTCTATGTAAATTAGGGAATATTCAAAAATTCTGTGCAAATTTGCCTTCTTCCTATTCAAATAGGAATTGTTACAAATACCATCTCATCCACAAAGTCCAGCCATAATTTCCAGAGGCAGTTACACTGGTGCTATTTAACGTCATTGATACCCGTGTATTAAATTGGTGCCATTTGTCCTTATCTCTGTTTTTTCTCTCTCTGTCCACTTACTCAAATAAATGAATAAACACAGCACATTGCACTCAGCAGGTAGTTACTGTGACGCAGTATTTATAAGCGATGTCTCATCCAAACTTTCCAATGATCAGGGAAACAATTTGGCCTTTTTATGACTTTAAATTAACGTATCTGTTAAAATCTGTTGATATTACTTTGATTAATATATTCAAAGGCTGTCAGTGACTCGACACTTTATGTTCGGGGAGGTTTGGAGCCGTTACACACGAGGATATGAGTCGTCAGCTCTATCAGCAAGTGCAGCTCTGTGCACATTAACACGATAAAACAAGAGCAGTCTGCGCGGAGCAGGACAACTTTGTGGTTGTTGTTAGCAACGGCATATCATCTCTGCAAATTCTTTTGTGGATAGGGTTCTAAAACGTGGTAGATTACAGGGGCTATTTCTGTGCAATTCTTTTTAGTGAGCGCAATCCAATCTTACTCGATCTGGCCCATTGTGTTCAGTGTTTGAAGGTTTTCTCTCTGCACTCCAAAACAAAAAGAACCAGAGATAGAACTGGTGTAGATGCCTTAAATAAAGCAATTTTCCATAAAAAAAGTTTGGTCCTCTCTTACAGTCTTTGGAGGGGCTTTGGCTTTTGCTCCAGCTAAATCCAATTCGACCGCAGAAGCTTTAGTCTGACCGACATGATTTACTCCTTGGTTTAACCTTCGCCGTAGCTGATGTGCATCAAGATTATTTTATATTTTCATTGCACGGACATTTGGAGTTTTCAGTAAAGGGGGGCCAATGTTTATTTCTGCCAAGAGGACATTTTGACCGATGATGTAGCTTATAGAAAGTTACAGAAAGGTCACAGAATCAAAGTAATCAGTGGTTATCATCATCTGGAATATTTCCAAGATGTCTTACTCGGAAACTTGGAAGTCTCCACACTTAAGGAGGTCATTTGTGTTGATCAACAACCCCTTACAACCTTTGCCATTATTACATCCATTTTAAGCCGTTGAGCAGTTAGCGGCTCACTTAATGAACCTTTGAGGGTGTCGAGAAGAACAAGAAACAGCAGTATAAAGGCGATTGACCTTACAGGTACTGCAGCACACACGCTCCTCTCTGTACTCGCTGAGCTGATTTTATTTCAGTGTCGGCCTGAATGCTTTTCACTGGCAGCTGTCCATTCAATAAAGAAGAGAAGGGAGAAAGTGTGTTACTTTTTCCACATCATTACTAGTTTCCTGAAACTTTCTCTCTGCTGTATTGTTCGACCCGGAGTCAGTAAGTTGTGATAAGATCTTTAAATGACATTTATATTGTCCTTATTAAGAAATGTGCTGATTTCAAGCTGAGTTAGCTCTGATGTACTCTCACATATTATGGTTGCTCAGCCGCGGTTCAGCAGGTTATTGATTCGTCTTTTGGTTCTGCTTTGAGGCTGCAACAAACCTCCCTTTGATTTTAGATGACGAAGGTGACAAGGGAAATGTGTCATCTTCATATAATGCCACGTTTGTTCTTCCAAATAGGTTTTTTTTTAAAACATCAGACACCCTCAAGCAATTTACTGTGATTAAAGCTTGTTTATCTTTAAAGCATGTGCCAATTTACAGTAAGTAGTTTCTTCTCAAACACACCAGGAAGCCCTAAATAAAGAGACAATTAAAAATGTTCCCTTTGGTTTCTTAAATAATTTACCCAAACAAAGCTGCTGCCTTAACAATAACTGTTCAATCAAATTGTCAGCAACAAAAGGCCACAAAGAGGTTTCATTTAATGGATCCAAGCATTGAAAACATCATTGTTACAGTCTTTTTTGTTTGCTCAGTTTTCATTGTGATTCATTAAAATTTATCATTCAATCTGTGCACAAGCTACATCTACAATTCTACGCACAAAGCTAATTTCTTCTCTCTGACTCAGGTTTACTTTTTTATATATATGTAGAATTCCAAGCAGCTCTCGCTTCTAGACATTCATATAAAATCTTAAATTAATTCATCCAAGCCCATTAAAATTGGAATCGTGTTCATTTCATCACGCAATCTGCAAAGTAAAAAGTTTGAAAAGTGTTTTATCAACTCTTTTAACTCCCCTGACGTGATAAAGTCAAGATGAAGAACATTTATTTATGTATTATCTTTCCCCTCCCCAGCAGTCCATTTGGAGCTGAAACACCCTGGTGAATTGTATGTTTCTCCGCTCTGTGTAATTAATTTAGAGATTACATTCTGACAAACTTGATACTTAAAAAACTTGCAAAACCACAGGCTCCTGCCCCGGGAGTCATCCATCAATTTGTAATGCCTGGAGAACTCTAAAGTAATTCTCTTTGCTTGGAAAGAGGTATAAGAATAGCACACACACACACACACACACACACACACACACACACACACACACACACACACACACACACACACACACACACACACCATGGTGATTTCATAGCAAGGTAATCATCAGAAGAGATTCTGTCCATTTGCCGTCTCAGTAGAGCTAAACTCTGCTTGAAAATTGGTCTGTTGAATGAGCACAGAGCCTGGCAGCCAATGTCATGTCAACTAAGTCACATTATTTTATCTAGTGGACCATGCTTTGGTAAAAAGTTAAATGGTTCAACTAACAATAAAAAAATTAAACCCAGATTCCTGAGTCGTCTTCCCAAAGCTTCACCCCAAAAAGCTGCTGGGACATTATTTTCAGTGGCGATTCTAGAGTCTGGTTGGGCCCTTGGCCAAAGTCAATTTGGGGGCCCTCTCTCCTAAAGTAAAGATGGATAATTACTTTCCATTTTTCTTTGTTGACTTTCATTGTTGACTTTTCACAGCAATAATGCGTTCAACGCTTGGCAACAAGAGTGATTGCTGTCAGATGGGCCCCCCTTAGGGAGGTTTACTAAAGTCATTAAAAGCTTTGCACATTTGGGCCACTGCTTTGGTTTAAGTTTGTGAGCCCTCAGGGTCCCCCATACTGATCAGGGTTCCCAAGCAGTTGCCAACCTTGCCTGTTGACAAGCAGCGCCTCTGCTTATTTTGCAGGAACTTAGTCTAAAACAAACACAGTGTTCATAAGAGGTACCGTATTTCTATGACTAATGATTCAACATCTGTTGGGACATATCTGTTGTGAATCTGAGGTGGCACAAGAAGAAGCCATGACAATTCATCATCTGGGTAACATTAATATTGCAAAATGATAATAATAATAATGGTAATCCATCTAATATTTGAGAAAATTCAGTCTTTGCCAAAGTGGTGGACCAACCAACTGGCATTGGGATTCCCAAAGCTATGCTACTAGCCTAGCCAAAAATGTTTCAGCTTGTTAGTGTCGAGGTCTAATTATTGTGAAGTTGATTAGTCCATTCAGCCATCTGTCTATATGTGTATTTTTGCCCAACATCAAGGTTTCTTAACAACCGTTGGCAAGGATTCTGTGAACATTCTTGTAAACAGAGGATGTCTTATAATTTGGGGCCCCTTTGAGCTTCCTGCCAAGACGGCCAGCAGGCCAAATTTTTACAAGTGGATACAGAAAATCTCAAAATCTGATGAACACAGCAGGTATCTGGTATTTACACACATTCAGCAGCTGTAGTTCAGGAGGTAGGACAATAATGGTTACAGTAAGAGAAACCTGACATTGACACTTTGTAGAAAACATGAAACAACAAGAAGTTTCTCTTCGTCTAATTATAGCTGTGCTTAAAATGTCAGTATTTATCACATACCCATGATTAAGTCAATGTAAACACAAGTTATTTGGTGTATTCGAGTAAATTTCCATTTCACGTCTCATAATGTATTGGTAACTGTTGGATTTTCCTTTTAGGTTCACTTTCATATTTTGGAGCTTTTAACTTGTATTTTTTGTTAACTTAATGTTAGGAGCCAAACAGAAACTGCTCTTTTTAACAGATACTCGACTTGGAGGAATGTTTCCCAAACACAAACAATGGGACAGTTTTATCAACAGAGCAGCCAGTCGTGCTGTATTCAAACTGGAGAAGCATTCAAACCTGCTGCTTGTAAAGCCCTTTAATCAGTTTTACATTTTCTTTCCCAGACCTTAAATGAGTATTAAACTTTTGAGTGGTACACAGACCAAAAAAAAAAAAGAGCCCTGTGTCCAGGCTGCCAGTGTTTTGTACCTTCGCACACCAGTTGCTCCTCTGAAATGTGTTCATTACAGTCTCATTATGCTAATGTGATGTACTTTGTTCTCGCTGCTGTGTTTGGCAGGCCAGTTGGCGGTGGGAACCTGCGAGATAGTGATGCTCAACAGAGACAGCAGCGTTCCCAGACGGACCATTGCTAGGCAGACGGCTCGCTGCGCCTGCCGAAGAGGCCAGATCGCCGGTACCACCAGGGCGAGGCCGGCATGTGTAGACGGTGAGTTGAATGACCTTTTTGGCATAATGAGAGTCGAATGTCCTGTGGAGAATATATTTTATTGTGGCCTTTTTTTTTTTCTTTTGAGGAATGCAAGAAAAAAAAAAAGCCCAAGGGGTATCAACATAAAGCTGGGTAAAACTAGAAAGGAGCAACCAACAGTGGATAAATGAATGCTTGATTAATGAATAGGGTTCCCGAGGTGGCCCTTAGGAACATAACAAACAGTTTAATTTAGCTTTAATTTAATTCACCTGAAGTAATTTCATTTACTGACGGTCCAACCATTACTATTCCTATCATATGCAGCTGTGTCTCCTCCTGTAATAACCGTATAATTCATCTCAAATGAACAACAACATGCTGGCAGCGGGTCAGATCCCTGTAATATTTGTCTTTATGGGGTCCACTGCATGGATCCCTGCCTAACAACACTCTATTACTCGCACAGCAGGAAGTTGTTTAAACTAGAATTACTCTCTGAACATTTATTTTGTTTGAGGCAAGGTTTGCCTTTAATGTGCACCGAGTGAGCACTGAATGATTGCTTGACTCCTGGATTTATTTTGACTTAGTGGTAAATAAAAGGTAGACGATGTACTGTGAAGTTATAGATTTATGTGCGTTGAATAAATAGCTTTACTTAAGGGATAATGTATAGCGAGCACATTGTTAGAGTGGAATGGATCGAGACAAAACCCTGAAACAACGGGGTGCCGCTCACCCTGAATGGAGTTCCTCCACGATATCAACCCAATCACTATACATTATCCTACTTATTACATGGATACTTTATTAATTAATTAAAGGCAGGGTTGGTAACTTTCTCCAAATACACTTTTAAAGATTTTGGTTGAAATTGTCTTTAGGTCCTGACAGACATTAACAACTCATGTGCTCTGAAAAAGGAACAAAGAAATCTGTAGCAGTTTTAAGCCTGTAAAAACTTTGACCAATGTCTGCCACGAGGTAGCAATCTGATGAACCAGTCACACGCCTCCCTGACTCCCTGCCTGTTCTCTACCTCTTGTGTGCACGAGCCCACACTCAACGCATGAGTTGAGGTCCAGTTCTGGACCAATGGCGCTTGTGCATGTAAGTGAGGGGGCGTGGGGGAGGGGGTGGGTGCACACGGGGCACTGAGGGAATGCTACTTTCAAAATCATGTTAGTTTTCGAAAATTACCAACCCTGCCTTTAATCAGTAATTTGACATGAAATATTAATTACATTGTTTTGAAAATGAAACATTTCGTCTGCTAAACAAATAGTCCGTTGGTATCCACAGTGAGAGATGGGTATATAGTGACAGTTTACTCCAAAGCCTTCTTTAAATGACCTGAATTAGTTGCGATTACTCACATTAAACTGGACACTTCCACTGATGGTGAAGTGAGACGTGGTGAACAGATCCGTATGAATCAGAGCAGCACCTGAATGAGTGTTTCTGTCTCATCATTCATGAACTGCAGTCTGTTTAACATTTCAACATTTCACTTTGAGTCCAAGACAAATTTCCCAAAGGGGACAATAAAGTATATTGCATTGTATCATATTTTCTTTTCCATTCACCATTCTTTTAAAACACCACCATATCCCAAACCACATTCTGTTACACATTTACTTAATGATCCATCTTTAGTTTATTAGATTTCTTTGTCATAGCATACAGGTTTTGCATTTAACCTCTTTTCCCTCAGCAAATGGAAAGATGTCAAATTACCCGGACTACTTTCGGCGGATCGATATGACAACACTTAGTCCTCCAGAGTCTGTGATTAAAGCCGCGTCCTAAGCAACATCTGCTCTTCATAGTAACCGTTTGTTCTTCTTAGCAGAGGTCTGCTGTCTGGGGATAGCAGACTGTTGATATGCATATTTGTATGCACAGTATTTAACAGAGTCGTGTAATGTATTTTTGAACTACACTTTCTTAAGAGAAAGTTAGATAAGGAAAACCATACCGTATTCTCTTATCTGTACAGTAATAAGAAGCCATAGAGAGCAGCTTGTTAGCTTAGCTTAGCATAACATCAAGACTTGAAACTGATTGTAAACAAGAATTTAAAAAAAAACCCAAATCATATTAAATGATAGTAGAGTACAGCAGTGACTAAAAATAAATGTAACAAGGAGAAGACATGGCATTTAATGACATGATGAATCATGACCTCTGCTACAACATCAGTCATGGACCTTTTTTCACTGCAGACAATTTGACACAACAAGAACATCATGAAAAATCACGAGAGGAAAAGCACAGGTGTAACTGTTAATGATAACTCCTTTCCATTATTTGTGCCGTTCTAGGGAAGCTGCTGGATACACAACACCACCTTGTGTACCTGAATATATTGTAGTCATTAATGTACTGTCAGGCAGAGACACTTACATCCAAGTATTGTCCATTTATTCTTCCTTAGTCCGCCCTGATACACACAAACATGGCCATTATGTTTCGTTTAATCAACGACTCGTGAGGAGGAAGAGGATGAGCGCAGACAGAGCTGCAGCAGCAAACATTGTCCACATTAAGTGTGAACATCAGAGCAACCGTTCTTATGGGTTAGGGTTATAGGTTAAGGGTTTATTAGGCTTATAAAGTCAATGCTGTACACCTGCATGAATATGATTGGTTGTTTAAGGAACACCGCTGTGAATAAGCCAACTGTGGCAAAGCTGAAAAACTGCTGCTCATCAGCCAATGCAGGCACCACACTAATGCACTGCCTGAATCACAAAATGTATTCATAGTTCTATGAACTGTTGGACCCCTCCCCCTTTTTGTTGATTCCCCAATGCAGGTTTTTTAGATCCTAGAACCTCTTTAGAGGAACCTTTTGAGCTCCTGCATCAGAGAAGTTACTCTCCCAGCTCATGAGGGACATAAGTTTAAGGTGATTGGTCCATACGTGCGTTTACATTGATTGGTTGAACACAAGACCCAATCCAGGACCACTAACTGCCCTTTTTAAACACACTGTATGTTAAATCCGCCACCAGGGGGCTCTCAATCAAAACAATAACAAAAGATGATGCAGAGGCTGGCGGGGAATCATGGGAGTGCTCCTCTCTGCTACTCCCCCCACCTCGACCCCCTTGTGAAAACGAACTCTGTGTTGACTGTATTCAATACGAACGGGTGAAACTGACCTGAGAAAGAGAATATGTTTAGCGACGATTTATCCAGGTATAATTGACATGACGTTTTTTATCACAGCAGCACATACAGCAACAGTACGACAGCTTTCAGTAGCAGCCGGTGTTTCCTTGGCAACGATATACATTATGTGTTATGTCATGGCGGTTCATCATGGCGGCTGCCGCAACAAGACACGTCCCGTTACAACTAAAAAATTACTGATTTCTCTGGCTTTGATAACTGTTGAAAAAATGTAAGGTAATGTAAATACTCAACACAATGATATATGTAACAGTATTTGAATTTAAACATTGTCATAAAGTTCTTCATATTATACCTTTAAATCCCACTAGAAATTGTCGGCCGGCTTACGTTACTTTAAGTTTCATGTCAGCCATCACCATGGTGGTCCGAATGCAGACAGAATGAAGTCCCCATGGTGTGTCGTTCTCTGGGAACTCCTGATCGGATAGTTCCTCTTCAAAAAGTCCCCAGAACTGTTCGGTCTGAAAACCCCCAATAGACAAATCATGTGACACGTTGTTCTAATAGTTAAGTACATTTTAAAGAGTTCATAGTCAAATGCTCAGACTGTCTTGTATACTATCATAAACTTATTTAAGACAATATCATCCATTTAGGCCGAGACACAAAACAGAGTGCAACCAAAAAAAGGTCCATTAGAACAAAATCTATGGGCTTCCCTCTTACTCTATTAAAAGTAACTGCCGATGTAATGTGGTTGTTTAACCAACGAATCAATAATCACTTTGCGTATCTCCCTATTTCGATGGCTCTTAGACTGTTTGACTTCCAACTATGTGTTTGGTTGTCGGTGTTAGACCATCTTCAGTTAGCCGGCGTGACATCAGCAAATTAGAAATCACTTCTCATTGTCTTTTGCTTTCTTTGGTTTGTATCTTATTGAATTTTCTCTTTCCCCCCCTCTGGTGTTTTTTTTTTCTACTTCAGCTGAGTGTAGATAACTTGCAACTTGTTCATCCACTTTATAGATAAGATTTGATACTTTAGAGCCCTCTGTGTTATTGGACAGTATCTTGAGGATGTTGATAAGACAGATGAGAGGTCTCGTGGGGGGGGGCACAGTCCATCTGTGATACTGATTGGATCTTACAATATCACAATCACACGCATCAGATACGCCATTAGTTCCATCACGCAATGATTCATGTTAGCCTTAATCTAATGGCCCTGACACGACACTGCAGTCCCCCTGCCTGTGTCACGCTCTCCACGCTGGTTTCAACCACCTCTCCTTCTCTGCAGATGCCTCTCCATAACACTCAACAGATGCTAATTAACTTACAGAGAACTATGATTACAGCAGCAGGAAATTGATTATTACTGGCTTCCCGCCGCACCACACCCTGCACTCCATTAATAGCCAGTGCATTAAAGATGGAACCTGTTGCTGGCAGCCTCATTTAAAGGCTTTCTACTGTCAGCTGAAAGAGCGTCCATCATCACAAGGCTTTAAAGTGGAATTTCTGCATGAGTATGCAATGCCACTGTTCAGATATCCTCTCTGACCTTTAGCTCAGAGTTGATACCCAGTTACATTCTGTGTTTATATAAATTCCTATAAATGCCCCTTTTGCCCCTCTAAGCACATAAACTAATAAACCGACTCGTAAACAAGTTCATTTGTATCTCTCACCCAGGCTTTGGCATTCTTCACTGAGCTGTTATTAACACAGCAAGGGCTCACTGTCCTCTGGGTCAATTTAATATAAGTCTTTCACAGCAGCAGCAGCAGGAGTGGATCACTGCCTCTTTGAGATGAGTGCTGATAGAATAGTGACCTTTAATGAAAGTGGGACCACCACTGGCTGATTGTA